CCGAAAGGCTCAGGAAAAGGAATCAGATGAGTAGTTTTCTTCTCTACAATATCTGAATATAAATATAAATGATTTAGTGATTTCTAAATCTTTTTTAGATCCGGAAAGTGAATTTGGTGGTTTAAATGACCCGGCAATTAAGACGCTTGGATGGAAGGCTGATAAGCCATCTGATTTTGTGCCAGTTACTATGAAGGACAAAGAGGGTGAGACAGTCACAGTCATTGGAAATTTTGTATGTATAGATAATGGCGAACCTGAACCAATGCTATTTTTAGATATGTCAAATATTCAAAAGCTCCAAGGTGTTCCTGAGCCAAATAAAAACCAGTTCCGCATAAAGTTATATGGGAAGACCTATGTTATTCCAACATATAGCAAGGCCCCAGTAGCTAAAGATCTGCCAAAAGAGGAGCAGGAAGCATCATCTTAGGTTTCTGCTAATTCTTCTAACCCAACTAGTGAGGACTTAAAAAAAAATACGAAAATCTTGAAAAGCGCCTCTTGAAAACTGAGAAATGGCTTGACTTGGTATTAAATGCAAGTAAAATTTTAGTGAAAAGGTGCTCTAAGCTTATGGAGAAAAGATCGGATACGTAACAATGTTTCCAGTAATATTTAATAATTTATTAAGATCAGATTCTCGTCTAGATGTATCATTTTTAAAAGAATTGACTATTTTATTTTTTTTCACCAGAGAAGATTCATCTTTTGCCTCCATACTAATCTTTTTTTTTTGACTAATCTTATCTTTTCGTTCGCTAGTTACTGTATTCAGCCTTATATGAGAATTTGCGCTATCTCGATAGTACTCTATATGAATAACCTTATCTTTTTGTATATTAGCAGGGGAGCTATCATGTTCAGCACTTACCAGCTGTAAAGATTCCTGGTTATTTTCTGAAATCTGATCAGAGATGCTAACAGATTCTATGATTCTACACCATTCATCAGTCGGTTCAGAAGGCCTCTGATTATCAATGATTTTTTGATATATCATTGCCCCTATATGATGTTTTTTACACATAATATGCTGAGCATCTGGAATATTATTCTGAGCATTTCTAATTTCTTCAATGGCTTCAGGTGACAAGCGGGTGGCATCTGATCTAAGAAATTTACAAGTACGGGTTAATAGTTTTTTACTCATAATTTGTTAATAATAAATTTGTATAATACCAATAAAAAACTTGTAAAAAA